TTATTAAGAAATAAATGTTTCCTCCTGAGCCCTATGACCCTAGCTTCACTGTATAACCCCACAAACAGGGAATGCAGCTTTTAATTCTCGTCACTTTGCTAAAGAAAATACAACAGTTTTCTTGTCATTAAAATAGATAGGCTACTTTGAATTGTAGTAATAATTTTCGTGTCTGAGCTCATACACGGTTGCCCATTGATGATAATTACTTGGAATAGTTTGTTTTTTTAATGATTCTTGAGGGAGACTTATATACTTTCGCCTCTTCCCTTTCCTCCTTAGGCCTCACTTGTATGCCGGAGTTGCCCCAGGTGTTTTCTGTGAAACTGGATCCTGCTCTGCTGAAGCGTATAAAGCAAGCCCGAGCTACCCAGCTCGAATGCCCTTTATCAGAATCCAAGGACATCTGTCCTGTCGATCAACCATCTGACACACTTCGCTACCACTCCCGGCTCCTCAAGGAAGTAGTTTCTCCTCTTTCGAACCCGTCCAATTCTAAGATCGAATTCACTTCTATAGGCGTTGAGTACGAAGAAGAAGATGATGATATCCTACTACGCCGCAAGCCAGATAGCCTCCTCGAAAACTCGAAGTTGGCTGCCAAAGCCGCTGCTACCGGCAGAAAACTTCTTGATCTAGCCAGTGAAGATAGTAGTGGCAACAGCAGCGGCGAGGATGTGCGCGAAAGTAGTGCGGTCTGGGATAAATCTGGCAACCAAAAAACAAAGGGTCAAATTTTATCGGATGGAGATTCCAACTGCGAACAATCTGCTGTGATTTGCAAGAAAAGTTCAGCTAAAAAACCTGTATGTTTAGAATTTGTGGACTTGCTTTTTATAATTTTTTTGACTTAATCGCTCAACTCCGAATTTAAGTCTACGAGGTCATTTCTTAATATAGCGGCTGTCTTATTATGAAATTTAGTCATTAACATTTCATCAAATAATCTTTATTCATTTCTTCAGATTTTAACTAACAAACTATTCCCACAAAAAAGCTAGATCTCAAATCTGAGACAATAACACTTCGAATCACAATTCAACTATTTGTTTAGTGCTGAGTGAGGTGTTGATGGATTGTCGCTTGAGTCTTCCCACAGTAATATGAATACGCCTTACGATTTCATTGAATTTCACTTTGCCTCATCTAATTTGGACGTGGATTCCTACTTCGCCGGGTCCTATCAGCACTCTTAATGGAACTT